CGCAGAGGATTACCTTCTGGTCCTCTACCTTGCCTTCAGTTTTGGTTGCTGGGGCAGCATGTTTTGGGGCACCTGAAAAAATGAATAATACCAAAGCCAGTTAGCAACGATAAAGCTCAGAGAGGAAAGTCCAAATCAAAGGGGAATAAACCTTCAAGAATGTCGGATTTGATGCGAACATCTTCGATACTAACATGAAGGTTCCCTTTAAACGTATCGAGTGTATGTTTAATCGGAACCACCCGCTACGCTTTGGGCTTCGACTGCTATCGAAGATTTTTTATGGCGTATCCACAAATAAACCAATATGGGAATGGAGGGGCAAGAGCCACGCCAAAACCAACAGTTGGCAATCGAGGGACTTTTGGGGGAAAAAGTTTAAAGGCAACCTCATACCGTTTCTCACGAGGAACAGAAGAGGGAATCTTTAAACTGTCCAATTTTTTAGAAAACTTTTCTTTCAAAGTAACAGCAGCATCACGAATGGTTCGACTAACATCATCTGATCGATAGGCAGTTTCGAAGTACTTTTTGAAGGCTTGAATCTCTTTGACATGAGTAGACGTACCTTTCTTGATCTTCTCCTGCACATCAACGAAAGTTTGGTCAATCAAGCGAGCAAAACTCGAAGCGTCAAGAAACTCTAATGCATAATGTTTCGACCACCAGTCGAAGAAGTCTTGGGAGCAGAAATAAGAAGGTTCAAAGTGGACAGGCGTAAGGAAAGACTTATGGGCATGGCGCGCCAATTGTGTCGAACAGTCAAGGGGAGATAGCACCGCTAGAGGAAGTATGGTATGTGATTTCTTGTCATATAGGCATTTGGGCAAAGTCTGTATCAACCCAAACTGCCTGGATACCAAGTTTGGTTCATAGGCTACCAAGCTGGTCTAACCTCTAACAAGGTTTAATTTATGAACCATCCGTCGAGGTATGAGGAATCGTTTCCAAATCAGCTTCGACTCCTCTTCTTGTTTCTTTAATGGAGCAGGGAAGGGCCTGGTAAACCACTTTGGGCCGCATCTTCGTTCTGCAAAGGGAGCCATCCTCGAGGTGAACTCGTACCGTTTTGCGAACATGTGAATAAAGTTGGATAAGTTGGAACGAATAGTGTGTCCTTCTTCGCTAGGAGTAAGTTGGGATAAGTGAGGCCATTCGACTCTTCTCTCAGAGACTGAGGACGAACCTTCATCAACTTCGCCTCTGTTGGGGAGATTATGTTCAAAAGTGGCATTAAGCCACAACTGGAGGAGCCAAAAGGGGCCTGATAACAGCAAGTTGCCATGGCTATTAAGGTCTTTCAATTTTCCAACACCTTCGCCTAAGGCCTCATAAAGACTGGCCAGAATCATCTCACTTAGGCAGATGCCTCTCTTCAGGTGCAGTTGGTTGGCTAGAACAAGATGTTTTCGTGCCACCTGCAAGGACTTTGTACAAAATACACAACGAGATAACCACATGGCCAGAAAGGCTATATGTTCCTCGTTATCAACTGAGGCGTTGGCTGTGTTGTGATAATGTTGAACAAAGGTTGTGTAAGTGTGTTTGGTGTTGGCGAAACCTATGGTATCGTGGCTATCAATCTCAGGATCGTAAACAAGGCCGTAGGGTTTTAGGCCTACAATGGCAGTTACGTCAAGCAATGTGGGTGTCATCATCCCAAAAGGGAGGTGGAAAGTATTATGAGTGCTATCCTAGAAAAAAAAGGAAGAAGCCAGCATAAGGGGGCAGTAAGAAGGGCCTACTTTCGACATCATTATCAAATCATAAATCCCAGTGTCCTTCCAATCTTGAGCTTTCACTTTCTCTATTTTTGCCAGCCAATTGAGGTAAAGTTTGGAATCTTTAAAGTAAGGGGTAGCCCTAAATAATCTGGCTCCATCATGAAGATACCTAAGATCTACGTCGAAGAGGGTTAGGTTATCGGGGCCGTCATCGGAGATTTTGCTAGAATCTTTTTGCCCTAAAGGTTTAGTGACTCTGTAGGAGGGGAAGAAGTCTTTAATGGCGGAATAATCAAGACCTATAGGAGGTAAAGGGCCAGATATGGCTAAGGGTTTACCTGCAACAGTAACTGGAATAATTACCTGCAATTCATAAATATGGCGTTTCTCTTCTGACAAGGGTTCGCGAATGAACTGTTGGTTCTTCACTACCTGAGGACCGCTCAAGCTGGCAAAGGGTGGAAGAGTTGGTGCAAAAGTTTGTCCTTTGAATTGCATTTTCTTCTTTTGATGATCAGCCATTTTTTTGAAAGAAGTAAAGAGTTTGTTGGTTGGGAAGCAGAAGATTAGAGGAAGAGAAATGCAAGAATATTGGTAAGAGTCAAAGAAGCTGGAAAAATGAAAATATCAGAGGAGAATGACTTATATAGTGTATGGAAGATTGAAAGTTTTTTCATCATTAAGGGGCTAGAGTTAGTGGGCCACGTGTGCGCTTGGATGTAGGGTGGCAGAGATAGTAGTTGCAATTCACGTCCCCTAGGTTGAAAAGGTGATGATGGCCCACGATTTTGATGATTCCCGAGAAAATCGCCATGATGAAAGTGACGTCAGGAACGTGCATCAAGGTTACGGAGCAGTGGCTTGCGCGTTCCTCCCTATTTTCTTGCTTCTCTGTCTTCCCTTTCACCTTCCCAGACTTGTATTGGTTGAAAGAACATCATACGACACGTATGAGGAGGACACGCAGCGTCGAAAGTCAGACATTGTCAAAAAATGTGTTTTTCCACATCAGAAATTGAAAAGACATTTTTGGGAGGCAATTTGTTAGCTCTTAAATTCGACGCCTCATGCAAAAGAAAGGAATTCAAGATGAAAATGCCAAGAACAAGTTAAGAACGAAAGTTGGTCGAAAGGTGTAAGGCGGCTAAAGAAGGAGTCGGAGAACACACCCAGAAGCTAGGAGTTCGACCGCTTGCTGTTGTGGATAGTTTGTCGAAAGGTTTGAAATTTGAAAGTTTTGGAGGGAACGATTTTGTTTGCCAAATACTCAAGAAGACACGTGGCACCTTATGAGTAGTAGATCCATGCATTCTGACAAGTGGCAGGAGGAAGTGATGTTGGAGGTTATTAGAAGTTATTTTTTATTACTATAAATAGGATGTCTTAGACATAAGCAAAGTGTATTGTAATTTACCACTGTACAAATTACTCATAGAATTACTCCAAGTATCCGAGCGTAGAGAAAGCGAGTATTATAGAGAATGTACGTGATGCAAACACACCATCTTTTATCTTAATGAAATCTACTTTACTTGCTTTAAACTTTACAAAGTCTTTTATTGTCTTTGCACCCTTCTTCCTTACTTTCTTTCTCCTCTTTTTCTATACAATTCTTTTCTCTTTGCCCTTAACCCAATTCCCTTCTCTAAACAAACTTCTTTCTTTCTTTATTTAAAGCTTTATTTTATCTTTTAAGTTATTTCGTAGTCGAATATATGTTTCTTTAAGATTCTTTTACCCCAATACTGTTTAAGTGTGAAACTTAGATAGATTTCCAAAACAAAAAGCTTTTAGCACATGTCCTAGGATCAATCTGACCGATCCTGTGAGTCACCAAAGTTAGATTTAGAAGATCAGCGATTGTTTTCCAATTTTTCAAGGGAAACACATGTGTTTTGGTAGAAGTCGACATCACTCAAAAGCTAAGAGAAAAAATATGTAAAGAGGACCATAATGGTAAAGTATTGGAGCAAAGAGTTGAATATGAATGGAAACTAAGTATTGTCATTCATGCCTGAGAATAGGGCATGATTGTGTAGAGCAGCGGAAGAAAAAAATGACAACCTCGAAGATTTGGAAACCAGTGAATACCAAAGCACATGTGGAAGCAGAAAAACAGATACTACAAATTGGTAATAACTAGGTGAAACATATAGCAAATACTACACTTGAACAAACTACACCCATTAGTACATAAAACATAACAAATGACACAACAAATGTAACTTCTCCATGAACTATGATATCCATACTTACTAGTACATAAACCATACAAAATAGGGCTACACACACTGGTATAGAAACCACAAAAAATGGGACTTGGAAGATAGTTAACTCGGGTAAGTGGATAGAGGAAAAAAACAAGCATGTGATACACCGACAGATGTTCCGCCCAAGTGTTATCAAAATAGCTCTACTCCCCTTAGGATTGGAGAAAATCCAACGGGGAAAAACCTCAAGCCATGATTATCACATGGAATGTTAAGGGCCTTAACAAGGAAGTACGACATTGAGAGGTCGACTCTTATCTCTCCGAACTTCACATTCTTGTCGTAGCATTGTCGGAAACTCGAGTTAAGAAAAAGAATGTTGATAGAATAAGGAAGAAACTTGGGCACATATGAACCTATAAAGACAACTATAACCATCATGAAAATGGAAGAATTTGGCTCATGTAGAAGCCGAGTGAGGTGTTTGTCAAAGTTCTCCATACTGCAGAACAATACATTCATGCTGAAATCTATAGCTTGGATCGAGCTCTTGTGTATACCGTTACCATAATCTACGCTTTTAATCAACTTAAGAAACAAGAACTACTTTGGAACGAGCTTGAAGTTTTAGGGAAGAATATAAACACTCCTTGGATAGATATGGGGGATTTCAATAATGTTTTAACGAACAAGGATCATATTGGCGATAACAACGTGACAGAGGCTGAATACAAATATCTTGAGAATATGATGAAAACTATCGGGCTTTATGAAGCCACAACTAGAGGGTGTCATTTCACGTGGTCGAATAAACACACTGCGAATGTTATTTATTCGAGAATCGATAGTGATTGGGAATGTAGAATGGTTCCGGAAATTTCATGATGCAACTGTGGAGGTGATAACGCCTAATATCTCTGATCATACGCCATTAATGATCACCATGAATCGGCAGCAGACAGTGAGGAAAAAACCAATGTTCAAATTTATTAACATGATTACACAAGATACTTCATATATACAGGTACTTGGAAATAGCTGGCAGCAACATGCTATCGGGACGAAAATGCAAAGAGTATGGAACAAACTGAAAAGATTACAACCTATATTGAAACCTCTCAATAAAAAGGTTACTGAAATCCAAGTGCAACTTACACAAGCCATGAAGGAACTCATACAAGCACAACATGACTTACAACAAAATCTTTTTAACCATCAGAATATTGACAAAGTTAAAAAATGTACTGATCATATTGTCCACCTAAATCAAATTAAGGAAGGAATTCTTATGCAGAAATCCAAAATCAATTGGCTCAAATTAGGTGACGGTAACAACTCTTTCTTTCATGTGTCTGTGAGGGATAGAAATAAGCAAAACGTGATTTACTCTTAAACTTCGATGGGAGGGGAAATTCTTAGTACCCTGAATGCTATTGAAACAGAGATTTTGAATTTCCATGCAACATTAATAGGCGTAAATACCACTAATTTTAAAGGTATTAACATTCCTGCAATTAGAAGTGGAAAAATGTTGACAATGGATTTAGCCCAGATGCTCATTAGGCCAATTGAAGAGAATGAAATTTGGAAAGCTTTATCTAGCATAGGAGACACCAAGGCACAAAGTATAAATGGTTTAAATGTGTTATTTTTTAAATCATTCTGGCAAGTGATTAAAAATGATGTGATAGAAGCAATCATGGAGTTCTTTGAAACGGGTGATATGCATATGGCAATCAATTCCTCTCTCGTGAAGTTAATTCCAAAGTCCCCTGAAACAAAAAACATTAAGGATATGAGACTTATTTCATGCTACAACATTATTTATAAGATTATCTCTAAAATTCTCACTGCTAGACTTGCTAAAGTGACTGGTACCGTCGTGGATGATAATCAATCTGCTTTTGTACTAGGTAGAACTATTCATGATAGTATCATGATGGTATAAGAATTGGCCAAAGGATATGGTAGGAAGAAAATTTATCCAAGATGCATGATCCAAATGGACATTCAAAAAGCTTATGATACGGTGGAATGGACTTCCCTTACCCGCATTATGTCGAATCTTAGATTCCCATAAAAATTCGTCCAATGGATTTTAGCCTGTGTTACTGATGTCTCTTACAGATTCTCCATCAATGGTGTCCCTTCCAGAATTCTTAAAGCCAAAAGAGGTTTTTGCCAGGGGGACCCCATCTCCCCCTAGTTCTCAATTGTTCCTGCCCACTGGCAACATTCTGCATCAGCTCCATGAACTGGGCCATGCAAGCTCTAACTTCCTGTAATTCAACCTGAACCTGATCCATTACTTTTTGCTGATTCCCTCGAGTTGGATATCTGTGGAAACTGAACTCCTCAATCCCATTACTAAAGAAAACCAAGCAGAGATAAGAATAAAAGGTCATTGAGAACACCTGCGATGCAAATGAAAATGCAAGATGCAAAATGCAAACATGTATATGCATTTACAAGAAGATCTCCCCCTTGATTCTAGTTTCAATAAACAAGAATAGCAGAGATGAACAAGAATACCACCAAAATCTTCTCATATATCAAGTAAAGTTGAGACAATACATAACAACAAATGAGAAAGATCCGAATACAAAAAGATACTGATCCCATCCAACAGATCTGGTAATGATCAAGATACAAAAGCAAAGAAACTACTGTGACGTATCGGAAGATAAACCTCCCCAACAATCATGCTCTTTGCGCCAGGTCTGAGCCTCCTTAAGCATCGTCTTCGTGTTTGGGTGGTCGGGTTTGACAACCAACCCTCTGATAAGAATGTCCCTTCTGTGTATCACATCTCGAAGACAATGACAATAATCTTCCCAAGCATCTTCGCCAAAGGCATCTTCCAACCTGGGTTTCTTCACACTTGCTCGGATCTTGAGCTCTTCAAGCGATGATAAAGTTTCATGGAATTTCTGCTCAATCGTGTATCTGCAGGACAATTCCACCATTACTTTTTTTTCCTTGACCTTAAGTTGCGCCTTCAGCTTATCAATCTGAGTACGAAGCTGGCCCTCCCTGTTCTTGTTGGCGGTCAAAGTAGCATTCTATTGCTTATTGAATTTGGATATGACGCTCTGTCTAAATCCTCCTTCTTGTGCTTCAAAATGATGTAGGTGCTTTTTAGATCCTGACTGATCTTCTCTCGTACCCGGATCTGCTCAGTTAGCTCTTTCTCCAGCTTCGTCAATGATTTTGACTTAGTCTTGGCCAAATAAACAACTTCACCTTTATCATGTTTTAGCTGACTAATCTCTTGTTTCAACTATTCATTCTCTTTGCACAACTCTTCCTTCTCTGTCTAAATCTTGTTATATCTCAAGATGTCAATCGTTGTAGGTTGCTCAATGACCAAAGGATATAAAGGTTACTCGATGGAGAAAGGTAAAAGGATCTTCTTAACCCTCTTCTGAATCCACTCCACATATGGATCGTAGGCTCTACAATCACCTTTGCCCAAAGAAAGCTTTCCCTTCTTGTGGATTTTACTCCATGCATCAACAAATCTGACCAGAATACAAGGATCAACTACACCAATGAAGTACAGAGATTCCTACACTTCTTTTTCCTTCGGAGGCCCCCTCAAAGCATAACCAAACTATCTGACAGTGAGAGAAGTATTGTAGTTAAATCCACCTTTCCTCCCCATCAAACGCACATTAGGGAAACTACCACAGCTAAAGATGAGCTCATGACCAAGCAGATCTCAGTTGAACCATGTGATATCCTTGGCTTTTAAACCCATGAGTTTGTTAGACCATTCATATGAATTCCTCGAATCCATAAAAGCTCTAGAACAAGGAAGATGATCGATAAACCACTTGTGAAAAAGCGGTGTACAACAAGAAACGGTCTTCCCTCTTCTCCTCTCGTTCTTGTAATGTATTGAATGATATAAATCTCCTAGGAGAGTAGTACGGGATTTCTGGAAACGAAAATAAGAAAATCATCCAAATCAACAAAGTTTGGTATGTTAGGAAACATCACGATGCCATAGACACACAAAGCCAAGATGGCACTGAAAACCACCCAACAACCTTCTTCAGCATACTTCTGAGCTTTATCCACTAAGAAAGATAAAGTAAAGTCGGGAACTTCATTCCTGCTGACAACACGATCAACCAACTCAGATGCGCTCAAATAAAGAGCAGCGACTAACTTCTCAAAACCGAGTTCTTCTTTTAAATAAAAGAATGACACTTCATCTTGGACCGGAACACCTAAGATGAAAGCAAACTCCTCCAAAGTTGGAACCAACACATAATCCAGGAAGGTGAAACATCGCAGTGGCGGATCATAAAACTGCAATAAAGTGAGAATGGCTCCCTGCTCGTAGCTCGTGACCTTCCGAACGAGGCTCAAGACCCTCCTATAATCCTTCCTGAATACCTCAAGAACTCTAGGACCAACCATGGAAATCAGACCAAATAAAGGTCCTAACTCAGGCGTCAGAAATTTGTACAAAGTCGTCTTCTTTTTCTCAACTTCCATTTCTATAGAAAAACAAGACCAGAATCAAGGGAATGACGAGAATCTGTAAAACACACAGACATGCAATGTTAAATGCAGAATGATTATGCAGATGCAAACATGGGATCAAGGTACCCAATGCTCAAAAATTGTTGTTGTGCTGTCAACTGAATCACCCGCTCTGATAAGGAAACCTAGAAATTCTAATAGCAAACCATAATATCCAAGGTTAAAGGTTCGCTCTGACAAGAAATCCAGAAAACCGGGTTGGTTGAAGGTCAAAGTTTTCCTGCAAAACCCTTCCCTCTCACATGTGGGTTCTAGTCTTGAAATGGTACGACATCCTATGCAGGTCACTAGTATCACGGACTCTCAGGTCGAGAAACAATGATACGTTCACCATTTCTGGTTTGGCATCATGGTCAATCGAGGAGGTCTCAACTGACTTCCCAATGAACGGTCTCCAGAGTCATTAGTTTTCTAATTCAACACCCCCTCAACTGCCCTAAACGCGCGGGATAGGATGTCTCCGAAGAAAACCTCGTATGGACGTGAATTTCATGAGGGCTCTTGCATGCCAAACATGCAAGCCTACACTACTCTCCACACTAATACCAGGTGTGTACTTAAGCCTGGGTATGGGGCTTATCTCTCATGGAACAACCCAACCAACAACACAACAACAGTAGAATAATATGACAATAATAAAATGCAAATGCAATAATATACAACAAGTAATATACATAAAGCAAATAACTGCACAGAGGTAAACACCCAAAGAAATAGAAACAAACAAGTGCTAGGACTGAGTCGTATATGGAAACTGTATTCCTCAGCAGAGTCGCAAGCTGTCGCAACTGCGAAAAACACCCGGCGGAAAATAGAAGAGTTGCCACCCAATGTTATTTATTCCAAAAAGAGGGAAAGGAAATGATCTAAGAAAACCTGAAGAATGGGAAAAGACAAGGTCATCGCAACAAAATATTGGGTTCAAGAGTCGGTTACGCAAGGGGAAGGTATTAGCACCCCTCACGTCCTTTGTACTCAACGAGATTCACGCTTGTTGTCTAATCAAATGGTGTGTTTATCTATAAGCTAAAGCTAAACGGAAACGATAACGAAAGAAAAAGAAAGAGACTCAATAGGACATCGTCGCCCTATGCCTACGTATTCCCTTGTGCAATGGGAAAGTCAAAGTTAACGTAGTTCGGGAAACTACGGGTGATGGGGGGAAGGTTGCTCGCCAAGAAATCGTCGTCTTGTGCCTACGTATCCTCATCTGGAATGAGAAATCAGAGCAAACGTAATTCAGGTAAATGAAACCACAAGTTGGTTAAGCGTTTTTTATGAGTGACATTAAACTCTCATTCCAGCAGTTAGGGTCGATGCCTGTTTGCGATAGAACGGAAAAGTAACACACTCTTTTCTAAAAATGAAGTTTGAAACAACGATCCTGAAGGATAAAAGGTTTGAGTTTTGTTTGTGAGTTTTAGTGAAGTGAATTGAGTTTGCTTTGTGATTCATGTTGCACTAAAGACTATGACATAGGAGTGAATGCGTCGCATATCACGCAAAGGGCATACACTAAACACTATAGACAAGTGAGGAGAAACCCCTCACTCATCATTTCCCATGTACTTAAGGCTCGTGGCACACAATGTTAATCGCATTTATTAGATGAGTTAGAATGTGTTTTGAGATGAGAAGAGAGATGCACAGAAGGTCTAAGGGAAAACTCGGACGTAACGTTGTCATGCAAAGTGGTCCTAAAGTCGGGATGTGAAAGGAGATTATATCCTAATGTTAGCATGCAAGAGATGAACCTAAGGTTGAGGTTAAAAGGGACTAGCCTACTTGTCATCTGATCGCGACTTTCTGAGTCTAGCGGTACTAACTGCAAGTGCACAGTCTACTGTGTAGTAATAAAGATATCGATCCCACATGGACTGGTAATCAAACTAGTGATATCGGTTGTTACTATGTTTAGCTAAGGCGAAAAATGTTTTTAGAAAAATAGATGCTAAGTTATGGAATGTAAAGGAAATAAAAGTTATAAGCTTTAAAAATATCGATAAGGGATATCAGTATGTAATGCCCTAATTATCGGGGATTCGACAGATCACCGATGCTTTTTAGCTTTTGCAAATACTTTTCAGGAGAAAATACTTGTTTAAAGACCTTTGCCTCACGCTGGTTATTGACTTGGGTCGTAATTTTAAGGCGGAATGTACGCTCTCGCTATCCCATTCGGGGTTAAAAGTACTTTTTGAAAATAAATAAATTCTGATTAATTCTAAAGCGATATCGCTGTGTTTAAAATTAATGCCTAGTTTTTACTATCCGGTTCGGACCCCATGCTTTCGCGTGTCAGCTCGAACCTTAATAAATTTCCCACTTTCATGGCAAAACCGTTGTAAATAGCTTCTCACTTTCGTGACAAAGGTTATTTAAAAAATTAGATTT